TCTTCCTTTCTCCCCTACTCAAGTATTCTCTAATCATTTCAGTCATATTTCCGAGCAAAACCTGTTGTGTCCACTAAACCCAATTTTTGGGGGGAAAGGAAAGAAGCGTTTCGCATATTAAACTTTCCGTGATCGACCTGAACAGCCCAGCTCGCGATAACAGATAATGTGATTCAAGCGGAACTCAATAATCAAGTTTTTCCAACCAAATCAGGAATCTACTATCAGCTGAAGGCGGACCCGGATGGAAATCGAAGGCCATCACCCGATTAGATCTTGCGATAAGTTGCAGGGGCATATCCGTTTTTGGATTCATTCATCTCCAGATGCTTCTGCTTTCGGTTATTAGTTCAACTTTAAATGGCGATTAGATACTGTGTTGATCTGTTTCGAGGACCGGAAGGTGCACTTCGTCCCTCATAACTCGGAAGCACTTCACCTAATCTATACATAGTCTACATTATCGACTTGAGAGCACTTGTGACCAATTTGAATTGGATTCCCTTTTCACGCGCGTCGCCACGAAGACAAAGCGTACCAACAACTACACGAAAAAAAGAAGAATCCTACAAAATAAAACGAAGTTTTGGAAGCCTTCCGAAGCCAAACGTTACCATTTCGTTTTCAACATAAATTCTGTAGGCGATTCAAAAACGATTATCAATAGGCCACTGAATGCTCCACTAACAGGTTTGCACGGATCTTAGCTATTTTTATCGATTTCACTTTCCTCAACAGTCTCTTGTGTTTCGTATTATTCATATCCAGCAGTTACGAAACGTCTTCTTCCTCTTATGCTAATACCTTGAATGCCTCACGTGTTATCATTTTGGGGCAAAACTCACAAAGGATTACTACTAGATAAAAGAATAAAGGAAACCCACGCTCGTATTCGAAGAACGGCATTGAAACTCAGAAATTCAAGAACTCAAAAGACACAGAAACTGGGAGACAAAGAAACTTTCGTGACTCAGAGACACAGAGACTCACCTCTCATTTCCTTCTCGCTGAGGGCAGGCATGTCGAAGACAGAGGCTAAACCGCGAATAAGTCCTCACATGAGCATGGTAACGACAATGTCGCAATAGTCTCCTTTCCTCCCTCACCTTGTCCACCTCATTGTGCAAGCTCTGACCTCTGGATTCTCTATGTTTATGTCGAGCGCAGGGCCTCGTGGTTTTCGAACGACTCCATCCGCGCATGCGCAACGCAATTGGGGCCCCGCCCATCGCGGAGTGGATTCGTATGGGCCTCTGCCAAGCGGGCGCGAGCCTTGACGATGCGAGTTTTGACGCTACGACGAGAGGACGGCTCCACCGACTGACGTCGTTCTAATCATGTGATTTTGCGTCTGGAAGGCGCTGGAAATGCAGAACCGAAACAAGAGCCAGCGCTGGCTCGTTGTCGAAAGTTCCTTCCATGCGTTTCCCTTTTGCTTTCATGCCTTTCCTTCAGAGGAGATCCTACTATAAATAACGCGCTCGGTATTACTGCCAAATCTGTCATCCCTCTGAGGATTCGCAAGTGACGGGGTGAGGGGGAGAAGAGCAAAGGGGAAGGAAAGTGGAAAGACAAGGAGACTTCCATTGCTCTCGTGTCATAGGCCTACAGAGTCAGCATTCCGAGACATATTGCCTCCGCCGATGACTATGGAAAGTTCATAGAGAAATCAACCTTTCTTCCTCTTATACTGGGGGGGGGGGGGGGGCGGGCCAGTTGCCCCCGGGCGCAGGGCTGAGGGGGGCGCAAACTCAGGAACCGAATATTACGTTTTTGTTAGGACTTTATTTGGAGGGTTTCTAGGTTGTGAACGGTGTTAATGACTAATAATACGAGAGGCTTCCCAAAAATTCGTGAACTCTAATGGAGTACTGGAAGCAGGCAAGACAGTGACGTCCAAATGGTACATCAAGAACTGCCTGACGGTAGTTTTCAACAATGTCTGCAGAGGTCGCCGCAATTCCAAACTTCGTGAGAATTTTCTGCACCATGACAATGCCCCAGCGCACACTGCCAAGGCAACTTGTGGATTTCATCGGCGTCTCTGGCATCAAACTCACTGAGCCGCTGCCATACTCGCCAGATCTGGTGCCATGTAGCTTTTGGTTGTTTCCAAAAACCAAGGCACCTTTGCGCGGAAAACACTTTGAAACGAGGGAGGAGCTCATCGATGCTGTGCAGGAGCAGCTGGACAAGTTGAACAAAGTGGATTTTGATGGGCGTTTTGAAGCGTGGGTGCGGCGCCTTAAAAAGTGCATTGAGGTCGGCGTCAATTATGTGGAGAAATATTGAATAAAGACACTTTCAGAGAAAAATAATTTTTTAAATCCTGTGTACTTTCTTCCATTGGAGTCCACGAATTTGTGGGGAGCCCATCGTATTCATCCTTTAAAATAATGTATGAATAATAATGTAGTTTACGACTTAGCAGCCCATCGAAACAAAAAAGTTTGGTGACTTTGGTCCCTAATCCTTAATTTAGCGCCCCCTCGGCCACAGGGTCCCAACAATGGGCCAGCATTAATTACTTTCACCGTTTCACATTAACCTATTAAGAAGAGTTTTCGAAAGCGTCTCAACCACATCGATATGTATATCCATCTACTTATAGCAACTTTCACAGTGATGCGATATTTATTTGTAATTTGTATTTCCGGTTTACAGCTCAGCGTTTTCAACATTTTCATGGTCAATGACCATAATAAAGATAGTAAATAAAGTTAATTTTTTACGTTATACAACTTTTATATTAAAAGCACTAAAAACCTAAAAACTAATTAAATTTTGACAAGGGTTGAGTGTCATCTGTTGTGTTAGATTCTCAAAGTTCCCTTTTAATAAAAGATTTAGTGTTAGGATGCTAATGAACGAAATGTGGCTTTTGCAAGGCTGATCTAATGGATCAAGAAATTAAGTACTAAAGTATGGAAAACGTAACAACAAACATCAACATCCCATACGTCAAATATCCCTGTACATTTCTCTTCATCATTTATGCAATCAATCAGTTTGCGGCAAGGAAAATAAACTTTATTTAACAATTATTAAAGTCATCGTATCGAAAGTTCCTAACACTGACTGCGTTGCTTTTTAGATTACTGGGACTTGAGACTTGGAACAAACTAATTAATAGGATTAGATTAGAATACTATTCTTTGCCTATATTTTGTTTAATTAGGCGCATTCATTACTACTGTATTACTCTAAGTTTCTACTGTCATTGGTATTTGGCAGTGAATTCAAGTTGTTCGATTCTATTCTAAAATTGTGCCGAATGCTCTCAAATGCGTGTGTAGTATGCGTGAGTTTCCACTCCATCCCCCATACTGCATTTGGCTGGGCCTGGGGATTTTGTAACTTGCCCCCAGGCACAGAAGACCCTAGCTACGCCACTGTGTACAACTACTATGGATGACTTGATTGTAGGATTCTCGTGGCTGAATTATATTTATGGGTATTTGTCCCGACTGGATGGTTCGAGATTTGGGTCATCATTCCTCGTATTGACTTCCCGAATCGAGGTTGAACGCTTATCAACGCTCCCATTCTCAGATCAAACACACCCAGAACACGCTAAGTCAAAATAATATTTTTTTTGTTTGTTCCGGAACATATAGTCATTGGGGCAGATTTACTTGTAATTCTCAAATTTTTCATTTTAAGAAAGTTCCAGGATCACTTGGATTCTCGTCTAATGGAACTGGATGAATTTTAAATTAGAAAACGTGTCTCTGCAGTGGGTGGAGACATCACCAGTTCTACTTTCTGGATTTGTTCCGCTTTGGTCTAATAGTTCCAGAAAGTCCGTATTAGAATGGAACTGTTTTGTATTTCCGCGGCTGGATTTTTTTTTGTCTTGTATGTCTCCCAACTTATTTATTTCGTTCCCTATTTTTATTTTAGATTTGGCATTACACATAGGTCCGCTGATCTCTCAACAGCCCCCCTCCTCTTCACCCAAGTCTGAATTAGCCTGTGTGCAAACGCGAAGGGGGAGGGAGAGGGGGGTGGTGATGAATTCTGTCATCCGCGAGTGTCCATCCGCGAGCTGAAAATCTCCGCTCTTCGCTGGTTCTAAGGCCTTCTTTATTTTCCCTTTTTTTTGTTCAATGACCATTTATTGTACAGCATGCCCTTTACAGAAAGAGGATACAAGATGGGAAGAGGTGGTATATACAGTTTTGGGTTATAGAAAGATGGTTATTTTTCAGCAGTGGTTGGAGTCCAGGTCTTGGGGTTGTAAGGTGGAGTGGAGGTCTTGGGATTGGGTGGGTCCGCGGCCAGCCACCAGGTGGTGTTTTCAGGCCAGATTTATTTTCCCCCATGTGCACCATATTTATACTGCGTCCAGGTGATCGCCGGAGCGGTGAGACGAGGACGTAAACAAGCGTAATCCTTTTGCTTCCTGTCCTCTTTGCATCCAAGGTAAAAGTGCCAAGTTCCCTTTGGAGTCGAGAGATGTCGCTTTCCTCTGCAGTGCGGCAGCAGCACTTCAAGCACGTGGAACATACGAATTGCGAGTTTCTTGCAGAACCAAGCTTGACTTTTCTCGCCACCGTGTTTCAACCGTCCCAGATTCACAGCCACAACTACTAAATTTTAGCTATTCGAGCCCAAGAATGCGAATGAAATTTGTTCGATATTATTTCCAGATGACCTCGAAACCATTCCAAGAAATAGAAATCGGGTCATCACGCAAACCCATCTCACGTACGTGCCAAAAGTACTCCATTGACATTCCCCGACAGCAGGCTTATGTAAGACGAGGAAGGGGGCGCTGAAAAAGTGTACTCGGCTAGAGTCAAAGCGAAGTGAAAGTTTAGCCACGCCGAAGGATATTTTCTCTCTGCTCTCTCTTCTGGACCGAAGAGGAAGGGGAAAAATTGGAGCTGAAATTGGAGCGATGTTGACATTCCTAATGGCCGAAAATAGTCTCTGTTCCCGATTTAGATCCCGAGTCGACGCGGGGATGACGGAGGGGGGGGGGGGCCCCCCCCCCCCCCCCCCCCCGGTCTCTCTCTTTCTCTCTCGCCAGTCGCGAGCGTGAGTCGTCAGTTTGTGCTCTCAGCTGGCCCTGGCGACGGGCATGGAAGGATCTGGGTATCTATTCCCCGCTTGACCATAATTCATTCCAGTCTGCATTCGGCAGCGGGGACGTTCGGTACAGGGCCTACATGCGAATCCGAGAAAGGGGCTCAGAAACGTGTCGTCCTGCTTTCTACTTTCTTCTCACAGCCTAACGAGTAAGTCTCATTTCGTTCATTTGCGGATTGACCCTTACCACCACTTAGTTTTTCAAACTTAGGAACTAATGATCGCGACTCGGCATAGCATACCAAAAAAGCGCATACCCGCACCAGACATGAGATTCTGGGACGATCGGTAGGAACTTCGGAGCTGTTGTTTGGGAATTAAGTAGATGCGGAGCCTTGAGAATCCATGGTGACGAGGCACATAAATACGAGTCAAGCCGACACTCGATTTTAGACTGAGGTAAAAAAGTATGGTGTGGCAAGTGTACACCGTTTTCCTGATCTTCAAGCGATTTCCACGAGATATACGACGATGGCCGCGGATTTTCTGTATATCAGGACCGTTTCATCAGATCAGCGAAGACTCGGGCATACTCTTTTCCCGTGCCGATATGCGTCTTCGAAGCTTAAAAGTAGAAGCCAATGCCAGATAAATGGATCCGGGAGAAGAATTTCATTTTGTTTCACTCCACCGTTCATTTCTTTCCTTCTGACAATTATTTTCTCGAAAGAAACAAAGGAGAGAAAGTGACGCCGCTTTAAATTATACGAACAGATGGGCAAAAAATCAGCACCTACTTCCTGATTGAAAGCAATTCAACAGGAGCCACGTGCACGATGACGCAATCGAAGTGAACCGGGACCGTGCTTAGGGGAGTCCAGAAGTACCTAGTGCGTGTGCACCGTGCGACGAATCGGTTGTGTGGGGTTCCACTCGGGTTATTTGCCTTGCTTAAGGGCATTTATTTCTTCACTCACTTTCCTTCCTTCCTGGCCCCGATTGACGGTAAAGGCTCCGGCCGAATAACGGCCTTTTGCGTCACGGAGCCCTCGACTCATATTTCATCCGGTTCCATCCGTCTTGTATTTTGCGGATGATCCTCGGAAAATGCCGCTTCGTTTCGGTGCTTCTACCGACTCCATTCCGGCATTTTTGGATTCTCTCTGGATTGAACAAACGTTTTTGCGTCCTCGACCCTAAATCCCATCTCCAAATAGAAATTAACATCGAACACGACTTATAAAATTCCAGTTGGATTTTTAACTATTGCACGACCTGTTGCAGGGATGGAGTCTGGTGCATTTTCTCTCCTGATTCCTCTGCTGTGCCTCTTGGGCCTGGCAGAAGTAACAGGGAGCAATCAAGAGAACCAGCAAGTGTCCATCCACGATTATTGCATCGTCGGAGCCGGGCCGGCCGGTCTCCAGCTCGGATACTTCTTGAAACAAGCTGGACGGGATTACATCATCTACGACAAGGCCGACCGACCAGGTAAGATGCAAGCAATTATCGAAGGCGAAAAGAGATCAATCGCACACGCGCGGAAATACAAATTACGGTCGTGGAAGCATAATGAGACATTCGACGCGAGAGAATCGTAGCGTGAGGCTATTATTTCGTGATGAAGTTCTTTATAATTGAAATGAATCGTAGATGTGGGATAGGATGAGGGCTGGCAGTTCCTTTCGTTTGCTGGAACGAGACGAGTGAAAGCCTCTTCTTGATGAGCAAACGGTTTTCGTTGTTTTCTCGGCGGGAATCATCGATTCCTATCGCGATAATTAGTTCTATTGAAGCTAAAGGATCGAGGATGAAGGTAAAGGACAAAGGAAAAACGGTTCTCGCGAATTGCAGTGAATTAATCATTCGGTTTCTCATTTGCAGGCAGTTTCTTTGTGCGCTACCCCCGGCATCGGATGCTGATCAGCATTAACAAGAGGTTCACGGGCCGAAAGAATCGAATCTTCAACGAGAGACACGACTGGAATTCCCTGTTGAGCCACGACGATTCCCTCAGATTCCCGCTCTACTCCGACGAATTCTTCCCGCAGGTAAGGAAAAACGAACCCTTTCCATCACGGAGAAAGTCTTTCGTAAAAATATGAGTGTCAAAAGCCGTCCCTCGTCGACCGTGATGGAGACATGGCGATGCTAGAGGAAAAGTTCTCTCACGATTTCGTGAAGAACGGGAATTGAAATCTCGACAGGAAGTACTTGTAGTAACTGAATGGGACTGGAGAGGAAGTCCTAATTCCCCCCATTTACTCCTCTTGACCGTTGATCATTTCTCTTCTACGTAATCCGTCGGGGATTGCTAACCTTATTATACATGATGATAGTATCGAGGAGTATATTAACTTTTATACACGTAAGAGGGGCGTATGAAGTGAAGCCGAACGAAAAGCATGCCGAAGCGCCATTCACTATGAAGGCATTCAGAGAATCCGTCACGATTCCGACGCGTGCGTTCCGTGGTTCCGCGATACCCGTATATGTGGGTCAGGTCCACGTTATTCCATCGTAATACAATGGGGGTTTATTCCGGAGCTTCTCGGATGCCGGGGCTCGCAAATACACAATCTCGGTCCGTCATTTCGCTTTATTCGCGAGTAGAATAGGAGGACTTTCTACTTTTTTTGTCTGCTTTTTTGTCGGGTCCTTTCGGCCGGTTTATGGAGTCATCGCGGCATTTCAAGGGTGTTACATTCGCTTCCAAAATATTGCTCAAGAGGGGACGTGAGTCTTCCGTTTTGAGAAGGGGGGAATGAAAGGGAACAGCCTTCTTGGGCATTATCAAGCCACTTTCCCACTTTTGCAAGGAGACTTTCAGGAGAGGATAATACGTAGAAAGTGGCTCAATCGGCCTTTTTTTTTTCTTATCCGCACATGGTGTCTCATCGTTCCCTGAGCTCTACTGGCACGAAATAAATCAGGGACGACGAAAATAAAAAACCTTGTCATCCTTTTCCAGCTGTTGCATTCTAAAAACAGAATTTCGTGACGACGATGATCCACTCGGAAGCGCCGACACTGACAACCAAAAATTGCAAAACTCTTTCTCCATTTTCAAATTTGGGAGGGTAACGAAGCGAGGAGAACTGCAAGATGAATTTAAATGGAATCACCATGGGGTAGGTAGACAGGTCCATGTCAAGTGAAAGTCACTAACGGGGATTTACTGCTCTTTAAATGAAGCTCGCAATGGGCAGAGGAAATTCACGAACTCCTAGCTTCCACGTGGTGACAGCTCAAATACATTTTTCCATCCGTCATCGGAGAGAAAAAAAAGGCAGATTTCGCCTACAATCGAACTTTCGCTTTCCGAACGGGGGCATTCTCCACGGTGGGACTTTATTACTGGTACTGTGTGCAAATTGGATACCCTAGAATCACATTGTAACTTCATTCCACATACTGAACGCCATCCGGTAGCTCATTTCAGTTTTTCTTCACATGAATATCGAGGGTGGGCTGATTCCATTTATCTGCTTTTCAACTCCACTTCCTTTTCCACCCCTGAAAACCACGTGTAAGTTGCTTGAGAAGGATTTGGTTCGTGATGACAATCCCAGCAAAAGGTGCACCATTGGACCAGACAAGTTCATGATAAGCCACTGAGGGAAATTATTAGAATTACCGCAACGAGCTAGCTACGCTATGTAGGTAATCAGTGGTGATGCCCTAGCCTGCGAGCAGGATATATCATGAAAGAAGAAAGGGCTTCGGGCTTTTCGTGTGTGCGGAGTATTGACAGTACCAATCAGGGCTGTATTTGAAGACAAATTTTAAGGGATATTTCACATGAAGTGTGAAGATCGGTGAAGCGAAAGCAATGCTGAAGTCATCTCTCATCCACCGAATAGAGAGCTTTGCTATAAGTAATGAAATAAGGACGTGGTCGCTGCTCAATAGGTCTCAATAGGTCACTTTCAGTCTAGACGGTTTGAATGCTCTGTGGGCTATGCTCATCACATGACGGATCTATAGACTCGTCATAACCCGTCAAAAGGATCTCTGAGCCCTGTAAGGCCCGGAGTGTTGACCGCTGGGAGGCCGACTTGGTGGCTCACCGTTCAGTTACCTCATATACTGATCACAATGACGAATGTCTGGATTGAGCAAGTCTGGGATCGGAAGTGTCAAATTCAATAAATGAGCTCAGTCCCCGGTTGTGACCCCTGACCGAATCACTTCTCTGAGTTTTTCATCATGCTGAAATTCCAGGCCCACCTGCAGCTCTTTTGAATCATTGCCAGCTTCTGCTGTTTAACTGTCCCCTCGGAATGTGGGAGTTCTCCACCCTCTGTATCGAGGGTAAGGTGCTGCCTGAGAAGAGAATTATTTTCCGAAGAAGCTAGGAAGAGCGTGAAATCCATTTACGTTTCCATGGATGTTTTCGAATAGGATCGTAGCATCATCTCATATTCATTCCTCCCATATATCCTGGTCTGGGATTCGGGAAACTGTTGTTGAGGTACATTTTTAGGATTTTTGTAATGGAGAATTTACTATTAGAAATGCGGCTGCTCAATACTAGAAAATTTGTAATACCACATTGAATCTTCGGGTTTGGAGCTAAATGAATAATATTTTGGAATATAACTACAGTTTCAAGCGGACTTAATGTGGAAACGATGTCGGCTAGAACGAGGCAGTCCCTAAACCTCACTCTGCCGGTCGCTTCATTCTTCAATCCCTCATGCACTTCTCTCTCGTCATATCTGTCTCATTCCAGTGGAGACAAAGAGGTGGGGTCCTTGTCTTGATTTCAAGGATTCTCTAACTTGATATTTCTACAATCTGGTATATTTAGGATGTCCGCTTCGAATGGTCATGGTGTGCTTGGGTCCACACGATGGAACGTTGACTGCTGTCCCTTGCGAGTTCGTATGGTCTTTCCAGACACGGGAATAACCTGTTTTGCAGCATAGATTGCTGAGCCATGCAATCCCAGTCGATGGCCAAAATATGCTGGGTTGAGTCAGCTCGAATGAATCTATTCGAATAAACATTTCATTTTCAATGCTCCATCAGCCTCTCCATGAAGCTGAAGCATATTGGTTCACGCGCTTGAAATATATTCTGCTTTCATAGGAGAGTTGCGTTCGGCGGTTCTGCGTGGTTCAAAATCGCGTCGATTCGTCCATTTTAGAGGAGATAGGAAGACGAGTAGGATCTGTTCATACAGGGCTTTGCATGCGAACCTTGTCGACAATATTGCTCATTATTCTCTCGAACACAGATTTCCCCGCATGTTTTCTTCAAAAACGAGTTCTTGTGGGAAGTGCATCAAATCAAAATTTTTCTAATTGAATTATGCAATTATAAAAATGGTACCTTATCGAACGAATCAAACGATGAGTGGTCTGGCTGGATTAAACTGGCCAGTCTTCCCATCTTTCTTGGCTTTATGCAAGGGAAACCATTTGTCATACATCGTCGGCAGAATATGCTGATAAATGAAGCGAGACCGAGACTCACGATTCTCCCTCGTCTTGAGCTAAAACGAGAAATCCCTGGAAAAGACAGTGGCTGGAGTGATGAAATATGTCTTCCTCCTGTTTGATGAGAGTCCTTAGAAGCAAGTCTTCTCGAGCTTCGCCTCTTGCGAAGGGGAAAAACTTTTATCCTTTCATCGTCTTATTAATGTGTCCATGTTTTCATGCCTCACCTCGGAGGACCTACATGTGCTTGTTCTGTGCCCAGCCATGCTTTACTGAGTGGAATCGGACATTTCCGGACATTATTTCCTCTGGTTTCCCTCAAAACGTTTGAGGTCCATGCATCACTTACAATCAGGTCGTGGTCACGGACGGAAGCACATCCACATCACAGTTGTCGCAGCGTTCTTTGTGGGATGTATCTAATCATTATGGAATGTAAAAAAATGCTTATTGTGTTGCATTGGAGGAAGAGAAGAGGACAAAGAAGGGGAACAGTGGGATCTCTGAGTCTGTATTATGAGAGCGTGACAGCTGAGCAAGATCAGCGGACACCCTCCGTTGATTTCGTCCTACAATTATGGTATTTATTGTTCCTCAGCGCAGTACAGTCTAAGCGAGAAGGATATGACATCGAAGATCACAGAACCTCATCGCAATAGCTGATATGAAAAGCCGCTCTTCAAGAGGGTCGTTCAAATATGCAAAAGAGCAAAAGGGGGTCGGTCTTCTTTGGCTTCGTAAGCGACCGCGGTTCTTGTAGCTTAGCTTTCTCTCAAGGTTCTTATCGATAGACTGTAGCAACTTGTCACAACGTTCAGCGCACTTGGAGCGAAAGTTGAGCCGAATTTGTAATTCGGTCAGGACGAGTTCGTCGCATAGTCGGTCGCGCTTGTCTCCTCAACTGGACCGTAAAATGGAAACCCAAATTTACATATTACGAAAAGCATCATATGTCTCTCGCTAAGCCTAAGACAGGGAGTGCTTATCGTACCTTGCCAAGAGGAGGCACATCCCAAGATAGTGCCTGAGAATGAAACTTTTCGAAATGCTTTCGTAAAAAATCAACTGCTTCCTGACCGTGTGATTGATTATGGTGAAATCAGTATTAATAGAGCAGGAATTAATTGCTCTCATCCCAACTCACCTCTTATTTGAATCTCAAATGCTTATTTAAATTTATTTGGAAATGACAAGCAACTAATAACACTGGAACTTCCTTTGGGCCAAACTGAATTTCAGACGACGTAGGTGGGCACGATAGGTCACTGTCGAAAGGTCACTGTTGTCCAAAGGTCATAGAGTGCACTGAACCAGTTTTGGGGCACCAGCCTTTGAGCTATTTCCTTTCGTTTAACCTTGAGAGTTCTCAATGTAATCCATTCTGGTTCTATTCTTCTTCATTCATAAGAGGGTTCCTTGAAAAGGATTTCCCTATTATTTTATTAAAGATTCTGAAAAAAAAGGGTTTCTGTGCAGACATGCCGTAAATCCGATTGGTTTACTTTCTCAATAGAGATCGGAATCGAACCCGAACTTTCACAGTTAATTTCAGATCTAATTTCAGGACACCCAATGCTGATGTGAATCTGTTTCATATGGAGCAGTGTATGCTGCATTATATTCATGTCCTTAATATTCCCTGTTCCACGTGAATATGAAGACACAATCCAACCCACTCTCCCATTAGCGGGGCGAAGGCTGATGAGGATGAAATTGCACATTTTATGTGTGCCGTGAAAGGGAGTGACGCAAGCTTGAAGGTCCTAACGTCTTACGATTCCTTTTCCCCATGACCTTTCCTCTCAAGAGGACTTGATGCCGTTTTCTCCTCTTTTCTTAGTATCGCGGATGGACGTGATGCGTTTTTCCGTTTTATGTCTGAAATTCGTGTCTGGAAGCCAAATCTGCCTCCGCCATTGGATTGTTCCGTGTTTGAAAATGACGGAGGAGAGATCGGTGTCTTTAGCTCAAAATCGATCGTAGTTAGACTTGTCTTTTCCATTTAGCAGGGTGTGGGGGAAAAAGCTCGTTAGATTCCCCACAGATTGAAACGCTCCACCCATAGTAAACGGTACTGGGAAGGAAGGGTCGGTCAGGAAGTCAGGTGTATTCAAATGAAGGAGACTGTGCGAAAGGGACTGACGACACCCGTCTTAGTATGACTTGGCAGACTCCACATCACACAGGCATATGCACATTCTCATGATGTTTCTTTCCCCCCGTTTACGTAATGAGGTCTATGCAATTGACCCTGACCTGGGTCACCGGACCAGAAATGATCCAAATCTGAGAATTCCTCCCAAAATGAGGAGGCACTCGACCAGACGATTTCAAAATCAACAAAGAAATGTTCGTCGTGCCTCTCTATCACGAGGAGCAGATGAACTGCTATGGCGTTCTCGGTCTATCCTATCCTTAATCTTTACCCTATTTAGCAGAAGAGTGCCCAAGCCGAATACTGGCTTGACTTTCTGACAGGGCCAAGTCGATCTTAGAAACTTTTTCTCACTGGATTTTGTGGCGTCGCGGTTATTACTCGTGGATAAAGTTATCACCGCCATATCGCAGGGCATCAGTACTGTGAAGGAAGGAAAGCGTAATGGAATGTCATCGTTCTATTCATATTTTCACGCTTTCTTATTTAAAAATGTGATCGATGTGTCGTGGTTTTGCAATATCACTTCCGCTTCTTTCATGGTCTGCCGATGCATGCACTTCCTCTCTCTCTACCAATATAAATCCATTTCCGTAAACTTTCAATAGCAGTGAATGGTTTTGTTCATGTTTTACCTGTTTGATTCCCGAAGGCCGACGTCCTTGTGAAGTACTTAGAGGACTACCAGAAAAAGCTGGGAATCAACGTCCAATTTAACACGGAGGTGAAGAACATCGTCCGGTTGCCACCGGACGTGCAGACTCGAAATGGAACCACTTTCTTCATGCAAGATCAACACGGGAATCCGCTCGGGTGCAGGTGAGAGCTCATTGTCCCCACTCTGATTTTCGTTTGGGGTGTGGCGAAATTTTGGCGCATCTCCCTTGACCCACTTGAACATCCAAAAGGACCCAGACGATCGTTGCTCAATTCCCTTCCAGCGTTTTACGGGACTTCTGAGGGCATAAAGCATTCTCTTGCCTCCCGCGACGTCTTTTCTCACGCAACGGAAGGGTTTAAATCTTATTTTAAGTAGGAAATTTATCACTCGCGTGTCGTCTTTCGTGTATATTGACCGATTACTCCAAAAAAGGCAACTTATTCGAAAGCCATTTTCCCTTCGTATGTCGGGCTTTCTCTTCTATTATTCTCGTGCATCATCGTGTAACGAGGGGAGAATATCGGTAAATCGTGTAAGATGAGCAAGATGCACATGAGGAGACAAAGAGGCTAGCAAATGGCAAAAAAAGAGAGTTTAATATCGGAAGGAATCTTTGTCTACTTTTGCGGTCTCCCTCCCCATTAATCATGAGGATTTTCTCGTATGATGAATGAAATTCTGGTGTGATGAATGGAGTTCATTGTACTTCGTAAACGTTAATGGGGTCATGATGTCACTCCAGATTGATTAAAAAAAAAAAACAAAAAAAAACAAAACCGTTCCTTGTCTGCAGAAATTAAATTTCTTCCTCTGATACTCGACATATATAACCATAAAGACTCAGAGGCCCGTCCTCGCTCAAGCACTCGATAGTGGAGGCGCTAATTGACGTGTCTTCGATCAGCAAATCGGGGAACTTATGAGGAATTCCTGGTTTCTTCGCTTTTGTGCGATCTGGAACGACGTGAAGGGAAAGGGAGGGAGGACCACGTAAAATTCTAGTGGTCACTGAAGTCAAGCTTCATTTCCTCTCATTCCCTCAGTCCTATTTGCACTCGGTGAAAGACATGGACCTCCCTACAAGCACCGCTTTTGCGAAGCTTGCGAACTCCGGTTAGAAAAAGAAGCATGCACATGAGGAGAGATGCAATTCGAGCATCGTAGATATGTGTTACAGTTATCCGGGATTACGCTTTGACGCAATCTGACTGCACGTGCGAGAAGAGAGAGAGTGAGAAAAAGAGAGAGAGACTTTAACGCCGATATCCTGATGAGCATAGGCCATGATCGATCGTGTAATATTCGGTAAAAGGGGGTCACACATTCACAGAGGAATTTTTCATGCTCGTCTACCTTGGGCAAGCAATCTCTGCTCTCTCGCTTACGAAAGGCCGTTCTACGGGGTTCCTCACTTCAACGTCCATAACCACGGAATCTGTTTCAGCTGATTTGCAAGGGATGATCTTAAGATGGGCGTGACTTCTTGAATTTTTTTTTTCCATGCAGGGTATTGATCATGGCGACGGGGTGGTCGCAGCCGAAGCTAGTGCATTTTCCAGGTTCGGAATATGTGGAAAACTACAACGATTTCGATGTGAATCCAAGGAAGTACGAGGGGAAGTCCGTCTTGATCATCGGCCGAGGTAAGAGCTGGTAAATTGGAATGAAAGGCGTTCATATAAAAGAGGTGGATCGGTTCCCCACCCTCCCATCGTGAGCCCTTTCTTTCGCTGCCGGGGAGGCGACAGCATAGCAAACGATAGGTGCCGTTGACACCAAGGTCTCTGGATATAGAGGTCAAACGAATCCCCCCCACTCAAAAAAGAAGTGCCAGGCGTTGCGTGGGACGTTAACGGCCGCTTGATATCACTTGGATCGCTTGATGCTCAATTGTTCGCTATGCGTAATGAAGAAGAACGGCACTTGCTGTGAAGTATTTCCTACTTTTGCACGTCTAACTTTCTCTCACTTCGTGGGTACCATTAATTCCTACTGATAGCTGCTCACTTATGACCTCTCTTGAATATTTGGTATAATTACAGGGACACTGAGTGCAGATCTTTTTCCTGTGGCACCTCTTGCCTCACACAGGAACTTCTTTCTCTCGCATTACATGCTTCGCACAAAAAAATAGAGAACGTAACGTTACGACACCAAAATGCATATTCGCAAATAGGGAATGATGGCGAACGTCTAGCAATAAACGATCTAAGTGATATCTGATATCTGGTTGCCTTCTGAGTCTCTAGACAATTTTTCCCATTGTGGCGGAATAGTAATCGCTTGACCTATCTACTGACCTTAGTTGTCATTTATGTCCTTCGAAGAGAAATTATATCTCCAGAAGTAAGTCATATCTGGAAGATCCTTGAGCTTTTCTCACACCGTCGTGCGATTGGTGTGGGGTTTGAGCCATAAAAGGCTGTGGGGTTTGAGTTTCTCGAGTTTGATGTAATCGCGAAGAACCAGTAGATATTCAGACATGGGTATTAGCTCAGCAGTTAATATATGCAGGTATAAGAAATCATTTCCTTATGCTGTGACTCCAAACACCTGTCTACTTTATCCAGATCAAGGATTTGAAACAATGCAGGAGGAATCTCCAGCCTTGCACTGAAATTCATAGCAAAAGTGCTGCAAGAGCAAAAAGTACTGCAAGAGGTACTGTAGGAATACTGAAAAAGAAGGAAATATCCAGGCAAGAAGTTTAAGTTTGCCTCCGTGGCGAGAAAGCGCGCAGAAATGTTCGATTTGACGTTGCGTGATGTTTGCCTTTGGGTCTGCAATCAACTTTTGGTGGCTTGAGAGCTCGTCTGTAAGTTGGATGGAGACTCACCGAGCATTAAATTCAGGTATTTAACGTTTATAGAACTTCTAAAAAAAGGGTTCGAACTTCAGGAAAAAGTATGTATATTAATCCAAGTGAGAGATTTTTCAGCAAAATTGGCTCGTTCGAAAGATCTCGTCTAGGGCTTTCCAAAATCGTACATATTTGCATAGTTTGCATAGTTGCTACATTGGACGAAAAGGTACAGCCTCTAGGAAAAATAGATGAACCACCCTGTACGTGACGTCAGCGGACATGGAATGAACATTAAAAAGAGGGCAGGATAGGATAAAAGGCTTTCTTTCTATACAATGGAGCAGAAACGCGCCAGGGGAAGAACTCAATAAAAGGGCAGCAGGGCGTGAAAAGAAGACGCAACTTTTACTTACTCAACTTCGACGGTTTTTCACTTGCCAAAGCCCGAATGTAAAACCTCATTTACGGAAGATAAAGGGGACTTTAAGCTGAAGAGCTTTTCCCCCTTAGGAGTTCGTGGATTCTTAAAGGACCACTAACTGAAGGCGGTTTCTGCGTTTTGGCCTTTTTCTCACTTGGAAGGGGACTTTCATCGCTCCCTTTCAAAGATTTTCATGGTCTTCTCTTGGAAAGAGGGGAACAGTGCCTAAAAGCTCTGAAAGTGCAGGGAGAGTGAGTCAGCGAATCCCATGACGACATCGCCTGACGACATCGCGTGATTTTCCAAGCCGTGTTAATTCACGAAATCTGTTTTGTCGCTCCGTTGGCATGTCTGCAGGGCAGACCATAAACGACGCGCAGTGGCAATGATAAAGAGGCAAATCAGTGCATTATGTAAGACTTTGTTCGTAACGTCTTTTTGTCTTTGTTCCCTCTTTTAATCCGTTAGCGTAATCTTACGTGGAGCTGACGACTCCAAGGAAATCCTCGCCAGAGAAGAAAAAGCTTAAGATTCGGACGGGTGACTCGGTCGATTCGCTTCACTTTCTCGAGATCCATTGATGACATAATCTCAACCGAATGGGCAATCCTGACGACTGCCGTGTCATCCCTCTTCCCTTTTCCCTTAATCATTATCGAACATCTCGCGAGAGAAAATACGCAGCTTCGATCTTTTGCACTTTCAGTCGGTCACTTCCGGCTTGTGCGATGAAGCGTAAGCGCATGGAACCTCGCGGAATATTGTACTTGTTACACATACCTTGGAAATGAAAATTGACTTTTGTATTAAAGTAACCCCCGCCCTATACCAAATAGAACTGTATGAAAACGGACAGGTGTCGATGGAAAGAGGTTGTCAGCAGAACTTGCGCAATCTGTAAGCATTTACGAGGAGGAAGTGAGAAGTGGAGGAGAAAGAGGTCTACTGGGTGTGCCAAAGAAAGTCGTGAAGCAATAGAAGCTCGGGGTTTTTTTTGTCAGGGTTCTTTTGCCAGCTTTATATCTCGTTTTGATGAGCTTCCCATACATTGATTCCCCCCCCCCCCCCTTCCTCAAAGAAGTAGGACAAGAGGAAGGAAATAATTTGATACGTATGAATCCGTAAAATAAATAAAAATAGGTAGACAGAGTGAGTGACAACTGTTGACATTGATGAATGAATGAAGACGTTGAAGAAGATTAATTAACCTAAGTAAGATCTGAAGTGAAATAAATCCATAAAACACGAAGGAGGAAAACCTGCACCCAATTAGATATCCTTACATCAGCCTCTTTCCTCTTTTATCTTTACTCACCTATGTAAGGCTTATCATCACTTCCAGTTTGCCATGTATCATCCCTCCCTTTGGTCTTTGATAGCAATTTCACAGTGCATGGGGAACCAGAAAAGAAAGTGTAACTGATGTGGCCTAGAGAGGGGTAAGATAGAAGAGGCGGAATAATTTCAAGAATACACGAGAGATCACTCGATATAATGGAGCCGAGCTGGGCCAGTCCCCTCAAAAAACTATCTTCGGAATTTCCGTGAGGGTGACCCTGCACGTGACCCACTGACAGACATCTCACCCAGAGCCTCCCTCGCTATCTTCTTTTCCCGTTACCACGGAACAATGGATCATCGTGGAAGGAATCGAGACGTCGCAAGAGTTAAACAATGAAATGTCGCAGAGTACGGGACCTCGTGATAAGGTTCTCACGTGTTGCTTTTGTACGCTGTACTATGCCCATCTGTAGTAGCTGATAATTATTCCCATTCTTTTGTGGGCTAAATGGTGATAGTAGGCTGAGGGGAAAACTCTGATGGCGTGGGATTTGGGTGTCGTACACAGGGCGCCTCGACTTTCTCGAGCATGTGTTGGCCGTAGAGGAACCCTTTTTTGCGGTCGATTTTCATGACCATTCGACGGAAGTGGTCATTAGCTTATACAAAACTGGAAAGAAAAGCAAAAAAGGAAAAACAATGGAATCTTTCGGATTTCTTTCCCTTTCCGTCATACTCGCCCTTTCTTTTCCTCAGCGCATCTCCCATTTCCTCGTCGAGTAATTCGCAGTTCCGTTTTGCAGGGGTCGCGAATCTGCAATTCTCTCGTCCATAGAAGGGTTATGGGAACACACAGAATGGGATCGTGTTAGAAAGCCCGTTATGATAGGAAGAAACAAGAGGGAAAAGGTCGAAAGACGACCCCGGAAGAGCCCCTCACGGGAAGAGGTCCCTTCCCAATAACCGTGCATGAAAATCTTCTTTCGTTTCCGTTGCCTTTCCCTTCCGTGCATACAACGCTTACACACTCTTGTCCGCGTGCCTCTTCTTTTGTCTATTCACGCGCATGTTACGACGAAGGAAAACAAAACACCATACCTGTTACGGCTTACACAGTTGACTTATGAGAGGCTGTGACCGACTTATAATATATCGAAGCTTCCGTGTTTTTTTTTGTTTGCTCCCGTTCTGCTCTTTCTTCCAAGAGGCCTCCACTTTCCATTGCAATCATCTCTCTTGTCCGGGATGGTGCTTCCTTGAAAAGGTCCTTACAAACCGGAATCAACAGGGTGAAAACTGGCGCTGATACTTTTGGCACCGCCTCGAGGCAGAACGCCCCCCGAAAGGATGACGACTAAAGTATACATTGGTGCAAATGTGTGTCAGGACTGTTAGGGGTGTAGCGCCATGATGATAAAGGAAAAGATGACATCATGTTGGCGGGGGGAAAAAAAGAGGCTTGCCCGTTCTTTACGGTCACACGCATCCGGGCGCTGTCCTTAGAACAGCCTTGCTCCAGGGCAAGTCTAATGAACCCGAGAATTCGGATCTGTTCCCTCGCTGCTTCCTGCATATATTGCTTCCTCTGTCCTGTAACGGCTCATCGATTCGCGCTCATTAACTTATTATCACCCAACTGTTAAGATTCGGGCAATTTTATCGAGAGCTCACTTTCGCTGGAATGGGGACAGAGGGAAATGTCTGCAACATCTGCATCTTCATCAAAATTCTTGCAGCATGGGTGCCATGGAAAGTTCCAACTATACCCACAGCAGGTGCAGATCATTTTTTAATGAAAATTTTCCATGTATTCCAAGCTCTGCAATCGTTGATATATAAGTACTCTCTCAGACCGCGATATGCTTGCGTGTGACTGAGCATGCATGATCAATGATCTCCTGTAATCAGGGTTTATGAGCGAATAAACACTGATTGCACGAGCTCATAGCTCATGAATGAGCAGTCACAGATGAGTAAAATCATACCATCTGATCTCGGCTTTAGAGGCAGTCGTTCCGACGTATTTGGGCTACCCATGCAATACGTCTATGAAGGAAGGAAATGATCTCTTCCTTGACAGTAAAATTGTTTACTCTCGAAAATTATTATAGTAATTCGCTTTGCCTATGATTATAATG